CAGGACGGCACAAACTCAGCCCCTCTGATCCTCTCTCCCGTCAGGCACGCAGACTGAATCAGCTGACTAGCCACCTGCCATCACTGGGGTATGCAAACTGCAGCTGGTCAGGAACTGAGTCTCCTTAGCCTGAAGGGAGTGTCCCGTACTGACAGGCTGAAGGAACTGAGTCTCTTTAGTCTGAAAACAGTGTCCCGCACTGACAGGATGGAGGAACTGAGTCTCTTTAGTCTGAAGGGAGTGTCCCACACTGACAGGCTGGAGGATTTGAGTCTCTTTAGCCTTGAATAGAGAAGATTACAAGGCGACCTGATACAGACATTCAAAATCCTCAAAGGGTCCAACAATGTCTACCCTTTTTCCAAATGAACACAAGCCAAGGGGATGAGAATGTCTGCCCCCGGGGCTAATTGCACAAGACTCATATAATTAACCTTAAGAGCTAAACGGATTTTTGACATAATAAGGGAGGTGTTCTAGTCAGGCCGGAGAACGTCACCTCTGACCTGTGTCAATGTGTACAGGCTTTGTGACGAATACAGCCCTCCCCTACCCCTGCTGGGCTTCGAACCCTGGTCACTTGCAGGCTCCAAGCATGTGCATCGCCACCTTCTGGACAGCGGGTAACTCCGCCAGCCCAGGTCCTCTGGCACGGGACAGTTGTACACTGTCAGAGGGGGGAGGCTCCACTTCTGCAAGGCTCCCAAGTGCTCCGAGCCCCGTTACACCTTCCAGACCCAGGAAACATCCACCATGAGTCTGAAATGGGACGTATATTTATTGCCTATATCCTGCATGATGGTTTTACTGCTTAAGCAGGCTTTACCAACAGTTAAGATAGTTTAGCCATTACTTACAGGTATGATAGCTCAGCCTTAACCTACGGGTATGATAGCTCAGCTTTTACCTACAGGTATGATAGTTCAGGATAAAACTGATTTGCTTTCACAGCTGCAGCCACCTCTTTCCTGCCACAGGGTGTTAAGAGTAGAAGTAATCATATATCAAAGAACAGGACAAACTCTGACAGAGTGATACGACCTTCTCTCTGAGCTGGTAGATCAGCTCTTGCAGTGTCTGTGCTGCAGGGCAGACCCAGCGCCGCGGTGCTGTACTTACTGAGCTCAATAAAGCCTGCAGCCGCACAAGGCTGCCTCCTGCTCTTCTGCTGACGAATTGCCCACAGAGCTCATGTTGCT